TCTTCTGGGTGTCAGTTTGGAATATCTAACCGATGTACAGTCCAGAGAAGGTACCGGCTCCTTCACTTTCGACCGGGTATTTCCCATGGACTCGAAGCAAACGGACATCTTCGATTTTTCTATCCGACCCACCGTCGACGATATATTGAATGGATATAACGGAACGGTTTTTGCCTATGGTCAGACTGGTGCGGGTAAGTCATATACGATGATGGGATCCGATATCGACGACGACATCGGCAAAGGTATCATCCCCCGTATTGTCGAACAGATCTTCGCCAGCATCCTTACTAGTCCGAGTAATATCGAGTATACGGTGCGCGTCAGTTACATGGAAATTTATATGGAGCGTATCCGCGATCTGTTGGTGCCACAGAACGATAACCTTCCCGTACACGAGGAAAAGTCCAGAGGGGTTTACGTCAAGGGCCTGCTAGAAGTCTATGTTTCTAGTGTACAGGAGGTGTACGAGGTGATGCGCCGTGGTGGCACGGCACGAGCAGTTGCTGCGACCAACATGAACCAGGAGTCGTCTCGTTCCCATTCCATCTTCGTCATCACGGTTACGCAGAAGAACCTCGAGACTGGCTCTGCAAAGAGCGGTCAACTATTCCTGGTCGATTTGGCCGGTAGTGAAAAAGTTGGGAAGACGGGTGCCAGTGGTCAGACACTCGAGGAGGCGAAGAAAATCAACAAGAGTCTCAGTGCTCTTGGTATGGTCATTAATGCGCTGACGGATGGCAAATCCACTCATATCCCGTATCGTGACTCAAAACTCACCCGAATCCTGCAGGAGAGTTTGGGAGGTAACTCAAGAACCACTTTAATTATCAACTGCTCTCCCAGTAGCTATAACGATGCGGAAACCATTTCGACCTTGCGATTCGGTGTGCGAGCCAAGGCAATCAAGAACAAGGCGAAGGTTAATGCCGAACTGAGCCCCGCTGAATTGAAGCAGCTGCTACGTAAAGCGCAGAGCCAGGTGATCAATTTCGAGAGCTACATATCGGCACTGGAGACAGAAGTCCATGTATGGCGGAGTGGTGAAAGTGTTCCCAAGGACCGATGGACGCCCGGCAGAAATGATGTTGTCAGTGCGACGAAGGCCGAAGCTCGACCGCGCCCTAGCACCCCGTCTCGCCTTCAAGAGGCTCGATCGGAAACCCCTCGTCCTGACTCGAGAGTTGGCGATCGCTCGAGCACCCCTAGTCTTGTACTTGAGAAAGACGAGAGGGAGGAGTTCCTCAGGCGCGAGAATGAGCTGCAGGATCAGATCGCTGAAAAGGAATCGCATATTGCCAATGTCGAAAGGGGTTTGCGCGAGGCACGGGAGGAGCTCCGGGCATTGAAGGAGAACTCGGCACGCTCGGGCAAGGACAACGAGAAGTTGAACACCGAAGTCAACGAGCTCCGGATGCAGCTGGAGAAGGTCTCGTATGAAAGCAAGGAAGCTGCCATTACTATGGACGGTCTTCGGGAGGCCAATTCGGAGTTAACGACCGAATTGGATGATGTCAAGCAGCAACTTCTCGACGTGCGAATGAAGGCGAAGGAGACCAGTGCTGCACTAGACGAGAAGGAGAAGAAAAAGGCGGAGAAGATGGCGAAGATGATGGCCGGATTTGACCTCGGAGGCAATGTCTTCTCCGATAACGAGCGCAAACTTCAGGATCTCATCAACCGTGTTGATGCATTGCACCAGGTTAGCGAAGCGGGCGAAACCATTGCACCGGACGACCTCCTGGAGCTTCGCACGAGTTTGGCGGAGACCCAGGGTTTTATCCGGCAGGCGGAGTTGACCATGAATGACCGGGGCGAGCTGAGTGAGCTGCAGGACAGCCGCAGAGTAGAAGTTGAGCAGAAACTCGCAGACCTCGAGCAGGATTATGAGAAGCTTCTAGAACGCAACCTTGGAGAGGAGGATGTGGAGGAGATCCGGGAGAGACTAGAAAAGGTTTATGTCACCCGGAAAGACGCTGAAATGCAGGCAGCCTCGGAACTTCGCAAGGAGATTGCGCGTAAGGATGAGGAACTCAGCAAGCTGCGTCAGTCTCTTGCCGACTCGCAAACTCGCGTGTCAACAAATGGGGCTGCGGGCAAGAACCTGCAGCAGCAGATTGCTGAATTTGATGCCATGAAGAAGTCTCTCATGCGAGATCTGCAGAATCGCTGTGAGCGTGTCGTGGAACTGGAGATTTCTCTGGACGACGCCCGCGAGCAATACAACAACGTGTTGCGCTCTTCGAATAACCGCGCCCAGCAGAAGAAGATGGCATTCTTGGAGCGCAACCTTGAGCAATTGACCCATGTACAGCGGCAGCTGGTAGAACAGAACAGCAGCTTGAAGAAGGAGGTTGCTATTGCAGAGAGGAAACTGATCGCCCGAAATGAGCGCATCGCAAGCTTGGAGAGCCTGCTCCAGGAGAGCCAGGAGAAACTCACACAGGCTAATCATCGGTATGGACTTATCTCATTTGCCTTCTGGTTGCCACCGTGACTAATCGCAATCGTCCCAACAGTTTTGAAGCTCAACTTACTGCTGTCAAAGAGAGACTCGAGGCTGCGAAGCAGGGCTCTACCAGGGGTCTTCCGAGTATGGATAGCGGCGGCAGTTTTAGTTTTGGCGGCTCGAGAATCGCGAAGCCGCTCCGTGGCGGCGGCGGAGGATCCGAGAGCAGTGCTCCGGTTGCCGGAGTCCAGTCCCAGGAGACGGGAAAGCGCACCAGCTGGTTCTTTGATAGACGATGATCCACGATTTCTCTTTTGTTGTTTATTTTATCCTTTCGCCGAAGATATTTGAAGAACATTCTTGACACGCCGATATCCCATTTTCATGTCTTCTCGTGCGATCTGTGCCGAGCATGTTGTGTGAATGAAGCTCCCTACTGCCTTATGTTTTCCTTTTTCTCGTTTCTTTTTCTTGTCCTCTTGTCTCTTCGTCTTTCCCCGTTTGAGCCCTTGGTACATTAGAATGAGCACCCAGCATGTGTCACGAGAGGCCTCTGGGTCTCGCCGATACCCTTGTACATGATGATAGAACGCATTCCGGCAGAGTAGTTGTGAAGGACGGTGGAATAGAGTATACAATACAAAACGATCTTCTACTGCAGGAGACCGGCCATATACACTCACTGTACGCTGATGTGCAGCTTGATTGTTAGTCTGCAGTCAGCAAGTTACAATTCATTACTGGTCTGCTCTGTACCGAGTTAGGGAGACATGTCCTGATTAGTTTTACTATAAGCTGCTCACTGCTATCTTACCTGTCGGGCAAGCATATCTGGCTACTAGGTGGTACTTATTCTACTCCTTGAAGTCTCTGTGCATGGCTAATTGATGAAACACACGCCCCAGCCGTACAAAGACATAAATTGTGGAAGCTTCTCCAATGGTATCAGAATAAATAGTTACAGATGCGTTCATTCCAAAGGAACGAGGAAAATAAATGCAGCTACCGTTTCCAACCCTCGATCTTCTTCCGGCGCTTCTCAAATATTTGACCCACAGCTGCACCATCCCCGCGCGGCCCGTCGTCGCCGTGCTTGCGTTTCCGACTCCTATCCAGCGCGCCACCGCTTCCCTTAGCCCTGCGTGTAAGCCTTGAAATACGGTCTGCACCTTCAGTAAGGCCTCTCCATTCTTCACCTCCATAAGTGCCCTTGGCCTGGCCACCTCTTTTGGCTCGGTCCTTTTTGCTCTCCTTTGCCAATCGGATAAAGTTGGTTTCTTCATAGGTTGTTCGTTCTGCTTCATGTTCCCTTTCCTTCTTCGACTTGGTGTGCCTGCCACCGTGCACGATTGTACTGCCAATGCTAGGCTCCGCCATCGGTGCGGACGACATCTCCGCATTGACGAACTCATCGATAACGGTCGATCGGCGTGGACCACGTTCCCGACGTTCTCTGGTTTCGGTAGTGGGAAGAGCTGTCGGCATGATCTTCGGTGGGCGATAGATGCCATCGCTGGGCGCATTCTTGGTAGACTTCTCTGCCCGCGCTTCCGGTTCGACTTTCTTCGCAAAGGCTGAGACATTGGGCCGGTATGCCATCTCATCGATATCTTCCTGATCATCATCACTTCCTTCCGCGCTATCCCCTTCACCATCGCTTGAGTCCTCCGATGCCGACTCATTGTCGCTGCCAGAATCTTCTGCTTGGGTTGCCTTGGTCTTCGCAGCGGTGCGTTCGGCTCTTTCCGCATCCTCAGCGGCCTTAACCACTTTGTCTATTTGATACTTAAGTCGTCCCTCTAAAGGCCTCACACCGCGGTCCAGGTAAACCCGTAATTCTGCGAGCTTTTTGACGGTGTCCTCTCGCAGGGACTGATCTGCTTCGGCATCGCTATCACGATCTTTTGATAGTCCACGCAATTGAAACAGCACCAGAAAAACGAGATTGTGTATATAGGAGAGAAGCAAGTCGCTTTTGGTATCTAGCAGCGATATACCATCTTGCGGAGGTTCGATTGACACCTCCGAGGGTGTATCTCGCTTGTCCTTGGGGAGGGATGATCCGGCAGTGGTGAGACAGCCAGTAATAGTTTCCAATAAGGCAGAAATATTTTGCAGACCGGAATTTTCCGGCTGTTGCGTAGCGGTCGCCATTGCGATGTGATGGGTGGTTCTGTTTCGTTTCCACTTGCGATCTTCACACCGAAGGGAAATTTTTGGATGTCTTATCAACACGTGCCGATAGTCACCTCGAGGGACCCATCACGTGTGCCAAGACCGATAGCTGGCCTCATCGTATCCGTCGCAGCCGTCGGTTTTGCTCCATCAATCTAATCTCCGTTTAGCTCAACGCTTGACCTACCTCGAGGTAGCGGTTTTCCCTTGGAACGCCAACCATCGCAGTACCCGCCCAATGAGCCACTGAAATACCTTCCCTGGAGTGGCAACTGTAGACTTGTATGTCACTCGAATGCATTCTTAGTACAACATAGTATCACAGAGCGACGGGCGAGCTAATCTTACGCTTTGTTATTGTACAGAAACGCCCACAATGGCGTTCAGCAAACGAACATTTTCCCTATATTCCCTTCTTCTTGCGGCACCCTCTTTCACAACAGCATTCTACTTACCGGGTGTAGCACCCACCTCGTACGACGAAGGACAATCGGTGCCGCTGTATGTCAACCATCTCACCCCAGGGCTTGCGCAACAGGACGAGCAACTTCATTCCGTGTTTTCATACGACTACTATCACCCCGCCTTTCACTTCTGCGCCCCTGAAGATGGACCCAAATATATACGCGAATCGCTAGGGAGCATTTTGTTCGGGGATCGAATTCAATCGTCACCCTTCGAGCTCTTTATGGGCAAGAACGAAACGTGCAAGGCTGTCTGCAAGGAGGAGGCCAAATTCGATTCCCGTAGCGCCAAATTTACTAATCGGAGGATTGTACAAGGATACAACTTCAATTGGCTTGTGGATGGACTTCCCGGCGCCCAAATCAATGTGGAATCTGTCACCGAGGCCAAATTCTATAACCCGGGCTTTGCACTAGGATCATTGAACGATAATGGGCAGGCGGTCTTGAACAACCACTTTGATATCTTTATTGAGTACCATGCCGTAGGGTACGGAGCCAAGGACAAGTATCGGGTGGTCGGTGTGCTCGTTCAGCCCGACTCCCGTGGGAATTCCAAGGTTCAGGGAGATGGGAGCGTGGACTGCGGATCCAGCGACGTCCCGGTTATTCTGGATGAGGATAGTGAGACTGGCGTCACTTGGACATACAGCGTGTACTGGCGTGAATCATCTACACCCTGGGCTACCCGCTGGGATAAGTATCTGCATGTCTACGATCCGAAAATCCATTGGTTTTCCCTGATAAACTCCGCAGTGTTCGTGGTCTTCCTGGTCGGCATGGTGAGCATGATTCTAATTAGGGCTCTCCGGAAGGATATTGCCCGGTATAATCGGCTGGACATGATTAACCTAGAGGATTTGGATGGAACGTCGGCCGCTGTGGAAGATGGTATCCAAGAGGATTCTGGCTGGAAGTTAGTACATGGGGATGTCTTCCGATGCCCGAAATCTCCTTTGTTGTTGAGTGTACTTGTTGGAAACGGTGCACAGCTTTTCATGATGACGGGCGCCACAGTTCGTAAGTTTTTTGTCGTCTTCAGTGGAGATAATGAGTATTCATACTAATGCGGCTTGTCTAGTTGTCGCTCTCTTTGGCCTTCTATCTCCAGCCAACCGTGGTTTCTTAGCCACAGCCACCCTTCTCATCTACACACTGTTTGGGTTTATTGGTGGTTATGTGTCCGCCCGAGTATACAAATCTTTCGGCGGAGAAGCTTGGAAGCGCAATATTGTCATGACCCCCGTGCTTGTTCCCGGTTTTATTTTTAGCACCTTCTTCTTGCTTAATCTGTTCGTATGGGCGAAAGGCTCCAGCGGGGCTGTGCCCTTCGGCACTATGCTAGCTCTCGTTGCGATTTGGTTCGTCATCAGCGTACCGTTGAGTGTTGCGGGTAGCTGGCTTGGATTCAAGCAGCGTGTATGTTTGCCCCGCTTGTGATGTTTATCATATACTGGACTGGGGCGTGTGCTGACCCTTTTTCTAGGCTGTGGAAGGACCCACGAAGACAAATCAGATACCCCGCCAGGTCCCTCCCATGACTGGCAGTCTTCGGACCATCCCTTCGTTGCTGCTAACAGGTATTCTTCCGTTCGGAGCGATCTTTGTGGAGCTATACTTTATTATGACGTCGCTTTGGACCAACAAGATCTACTACATGTTCGGTTTCCTGTTCCTCTGCTACGGGCTGATGATCATCACAACTGCGGCTACGACGGTGCTTTTGGTATACTTCCTGCTGTGCGCAGAGAATTACCGATGGCAATGGAGGGCATTCGCTGGCGCCGGAATGACTGGTGGCTATGTCTTCCTCAACGCACTGCTTTTCTGGGCAACCCGAGTGAGCTTTGGTGGTTTTACGGGTGCAGTGCTCTATGTCGGCTACTCCGCGCTGATTGGCTTCGTTGTTTTCATCTTGACTGGTAAGTTCTGAGCTGTCTTTCCATATCGGTTCCACCGCCGCCAACTAATTCATCCACAGGCTCGATCGGCTTTTTCGCAAGTTGGGCATTCGTACAGCGCATCTATGGCTCCATCAAGGTTGACTAAGTGTCTTACCGCTGTATTTCCTCAATTGACCAGACACCGCGCTTGGTGGCCTCTCCTCTTTACCTCCGCGCCATATAGAGTGATGGAGGCTCTTTTCTTTCCCAGTCTTGTTCCGATATCCCTGTATAGCTTGCGCGCATTCGTATTTCCTTTGCTAACCCCATCCGATGCATTGTCCACGACCTGTACATAGAGTATACGAGAATGCTGTTTCCATGCTTGGAAGATTGTTTGGCGCTAGTGGAGCGGGTGGGATTTGATACATTCATGTGCACAAACAAGGTGAACTGAAACGTATTGTATGATATATGAACAAAGCCATTGAACACGGTACCAAGTAGAGATATCCTGGAGTGGCATATAGTAACTTGACCAAGCTACGGCGTGGATCCCTAGTGCGTCAGCTGTCGTGCGTCTTTCCCCCTTGGCGGTCAAAGGTCTGGACCCGCGGCTCCCCCGGTGTTGAACGCCACTACGCAGTCTTCTTTCCCCCCGGTTTCTATTTTCCCATTTCCAAATCTCGCCGACCGGAAATTCAAATCGTTCCTGGTTCCCTGGTCTACGTTAAATCTCTCGTGGTTTAATTCTGTCTTGGTCTGGTCTCCCTCCTTCATTCATCCAGCCTTCAATATAGTGAAACGAGCTCTCTCCGACCACGGGGGCGCACGATCTTATCGGCCCAAACCTCGTTTACCCCGCGATCTTCCGCAGCTGCATCTTGCACTCCCCTCCTCAGCGAATAATAGATCGGAACCGCCTGTGAATTCAAGATTTCTATAAAAGGTTCTAGGTGATCATTTACCATAAATTTGGAGCGGTCCTACAGCGCGTGTTGTGACCATGGGTAAATCGTAAGTGCGCGTGCTTCCCCGTTTTGCGTACTCTTCACGGCCATGAGAATACACATCCAGAGTGGGATGCCATGCGCAGGCCCTGTTCTATCCTTACTGAGGGTGAGGATTGAATTGTCTCGCTTGTCGTCACATTTGGCTTGTCCGGCTCGCTTCCGTCCCTCTCTGCGATGCCGTGAGTTCCCTCACTGGCTGATCCATGTGCGCTAACACCGATGACCGGACAGTCAGTCGAAGCTTTCCCCCACCCAGCTCGATGAGCTCCAGAAGGCTACCCATTTTGATAAAAAGGAACTGCAACAATGGTATAAAGGTGCGCTGACACGTGCTTCACTCTATGTCAAGAGGTATTTGGGCTGACCGAGGCTTTTCGGTGTAGGGTTTTTGAAGGACTGCCCCTCGGGGACCTTGACCAAGGAGGAGTTCCAAAAGATCTACCGACAGTTCTTCCCTTTTGGCGATCCGTCATCATTTGCCAATTATGTGTTCCGTGTCTTCGATTCGGATAATAGCGGGATGATCGATTTCAAGGAGTTTATCTGTGCATTGTCGGTCACATCCCGGGGCAAGATGGAGGATAAGTTGGATTGGGCGTTTCAACTGTATGACATTGATGGCGATGGTAAGATCACGTATGACGAAATGCTCGCCATCGTGGAGGCAATCTATAAGATGGTATGTCAACCGCTAGCTCCGAGTGGATGCTGTGACCGAGGGCTGATGGATGACTAGGTCGGCTCGATGGTGAAACTTCCCGAAGATGAGGACACGCCCGAGAAACGAGTTCGCAAGATTTTCCGTATGATGGACAAAGATGAGAATGGCAGCCTTGACATGGAGGAGTTCAAGGAGGGTAGCAAGCGCGACGAGACGATCGTGAGCGCCCTGTCTTTGTATGATGGACTGGTATGAATGGGTGGTGGTCGCACCTGTATGTTTCTTCTCCCATGACCTCTCAACCTTTTTCTACTTTTCTCTCTCGGCGAATCCGGCGTGGTCGGGATTCTTGGTTTTTTCTTCTTTTTTATCTCAACGTAACCATTTCTGTCTTGTGTTTATTACCTTTTTTGTTTCTTTTTGCGTCTAGGATTCCCATTACTGCCTGCCCCTGTGCTTGTCGACCCAGTGCCCCGTATTGATGGCATCCTGGTCGGACCGCTTCTCCTCTACTCTTTCTCCCCGTCTAGATGGAATGTGCTAAATTCTGGCCTCATCTTTCGGGGGCCCTTATCATGAAAAACCACAGGCAACGGTTCGTCTCGTTGACACCATCGGCTTTGATTGACAAATTCATGCCCTTTCGGTTTGCAGAAAAGAAAGCACGATATGGTTGATTTGAGTTTCTGCCTCTCATGTTGGAATGTTTTGCGCGCATTTGCATGATTGAGTCTTTTGCAATGCATTTTTTAGAGTTGAAATTTTTCCGAACCTACTGTGTACAGAGATTCAGTATACATACAGAGAGAGATATATATATATATATATGTACATTGTGCTTACCTTCAAGGCCGTGGATACCTGAGGTGTCCACAATTAACTAGTCTCTAATGTGTGTTACTACAGACGCAATACTTCCTCAGTAGGTAGTACTACTATATTAGTCGTACTAGTAGTACGGAGTACTCCGTAGTTGACTCCGTATTGAGAAGAAGTCTCGGTACGGCTGGATCCGTTTTGGTGGCTCTTACCCGGCCCACCATGTCAACTCCACCCTTTCACACTACTGCTCTCTCTAAACCCCCAACCGATGACTCCATTCTGAGAGAAATTGCTGCGTCAGTCGTTAGAGACTAACGCTTTGCTCCATGCCGAACGGGTCCGGACACGAGGAGGAAGGCGCTCTTCTGTGTTCCTGCGCCAATGGTTCGAGTGCCACGCGGTTGTCGTGGCTGCATTGACGCCCGCCTTAAGGTCCGTGTAGCCTTTTCCTACCAATGCTTGTTTCCCCTCCCTTGAACATTCCATGCTGCCTAAGTGCGATTTACAAAGAGCAAGCTTTTTCCGCACCAATCAAATTTTTCTACGAGGGCTGTGTTGAGACTGTATTCGTTACACTACCGCACCCCGTTGGCCCTCTTCCACGTTCCCACTGCCCCCAAAACTCAACACAGATGCCGAGATTCCGATCTATCGTTTCGACCTAGATCATGGCCCTTGCAGAGAAGTGGAGCCCGGCATTAATTCATTGCCTTGTTTCTGGACACCAGCCAATGATGCCCGATACCTTGGTATTGCCGATGATAACGCTAACGCCCCGCTACAGTGCGATGGCAGGACCCCTTGCGCACGATGCAAAAGCCTGAACACACCCTGTCTGCGCCAGATCCGAGCGATCGAGTTTCGCGATCAAGGCCCGGCCCTGCGACAGAAATATCAGTCGACATCGCAGCCCTCGCACCTCTCACCGGTCTCGGATCGCGAAGGTGGTCCTCCCTCACGGTCGACCCGGTCCAATGTCCGATATCTGCCAGTTGCCTTTCCGACTAACGAGACGGTGTCGCATTCGCTATCCGTTACCGCTGTCTCATCCCTACAAACCCAAGTATTTACCAACTTCGTCCTATCAGCTTTCCCTTGTTATTTCAAGTGCACCGAAACACAAGTGCCGGTCAATTGGGTGGAATATGTCGAAAATCGGAGAGGGACTAATTCATGTTTCGATTGGGCTCTTCGCGCTTGCACTACCTCCTATGCGGGCGCTGTGCACAATGATCAGCGACTGCTGAAAGAAGCTCGGGTGATGTATATTCAGGCCTTGCGGAGCCTTGGCGGGTTGTTGTCCCACATCTCAACGGCCAAATCGGACGAGGCCTTGGCGACGGCTATTACCCTCGCGGTTTATGAGAAACACCACTGTACCGATGCAAACTCGTGGCTTAAACATGCGTCAGGGGTCCGGACGCTGATGAAGCTCCGTGGCCCGTCGGCTCATCTTCACGGGTTCGGTTGTGCCATGTATGTCGCTTATCGAAGCTTCTTGGTCACAGCGGCCTTGGTATCCGGGGAAGAATGCTTTCTGCAGGAGCCTGAGTGGCAGGCCCTCAATGAAGAAATTGCGGCGAACAACGCCAAGCTACCCGATTCATCCTTGTATACGGATGTTGTGGAGCGCGGCTTCCTGGAGATCCTGAAGATACCCGGGCATGTAAAGCAAGTGCGCAAGTTGCTTTCCCTTTCATCGGAGGAAAGGGCCAGGCGTCAGCCAGACGTCTTGCGTAGCGTCCAGGCCGCTCGTGCGGCGCTTCGAGGGATCAACACGGAGTTTGGCATCTCGGTGTCGATGCGCCGTGCTGGTCAAGGTGCTCGACAGGGCTTCATCGGCCCGTCTCCAAATTTCTTCCTCGACGGTTACTCCACGCTTTTCGCGAGTGGTGTTCGCTCCGGCCTGCTGATCCTCAACCAGCTGGTCATCGCCACGGATCCGACACAGCGAGCTTCGCTCGAGTTAGAATGCCAACTTCTTTCGGGCGAACGTTGTTCGAGCCTGGCCAGCTGTGAAGACCCTGTAGTACGTCCATTAACACCACCAGACTCTCCACACGCGCCGCAGCTAGTAGTGGAGTCTTTGATCACTCCCTCATACAGAAAGCCACCCACGACAGACTGGATGGATCATATTGCAGCGACGATGGGTATGGATGGTGTACGGGTGAGCTTGCTTGAATAACCTTGGACTACCAGTGGCATTGAGTTTATATGATTCTGGAGATACCCCTATAAACAGATAGAAATGTGAATATTGATTGTATGCATTGCGATACTTCTTCGCGGCGGTCTCTCCACTGCAAAAGCCCTTTTGGATGATGCTGATGAAGCTCCTCTTTGCGTGATCACATCGTCTACCGTGCCAATCTTCCAACTTCTTCACCCCTACAAGATGTGAAGAACGAATCCCCTTTTGCTTCTACTTCACCTTATGAGGCAAAGCCACCAAACTTAATCTCCACCGTATCTCTCGGGTCGCATAGTTTCAAATTATTAGCCGGGCCAAATTCTCTTCCAAATCAGCGGCCGGGGTCACTCCAGCGACTGTTTGATGGCCTCGGCCACCTATCTGTGCACCACATTCCGAGCAGGTGGAGATTTGCATAGCGCCACCGCATTCTCCGATGGTGAAAAAATGGCCGTTCACGCAACGATACCAGTGTCCAGTTCCCCTGAATTCCCGTGCCATGGCAGCCACAACGGCCATTCTCTCTTCACTGGTCACGGGCGTGTAAAAAGTACCGCCGCGGAGCATCTTCAATGTACCCTCGATTTCGTCTGCAAATCCATGTACCTGACCAGGGTGGGCCGTACACAGCTTTTGAGCTTGTTCAATGCACTCGTTACCCTCATTCAGAAGATCCTCTGCCCGAGTTGGCTGATCGCTGCTTTGGCGCTCTAGGGCACACAGCTGAGCGCCGAAAAGGTAGCCCTCGACCTGTTGCAATACGCGCTGTGAGTTGACAGCCATGGCCGTCAGCTTTTCAGCCTCCTTTCGGTTTTCCTGGAGGTCAAGGCGGAGAACGCATTTGTTGGACCCGCCAGGAGTTTGATTATACAAAGAGAGGAAGTCTCCAATCAATGCTGTATCGAGGCGAAGTAACAGCGAAGCTGCTTGAATGCAGCCTTTCGTCTGGAGCACGGTCTCGTCGAATTCGAATTGCCCAGTTTTTCGTTTTCGACGACGGGCATCTTTCACCATGTTGCGTACTTGATTGAAGGGCTGCTCCTCCACCTTGACTTTCTTGTAGTACTCTGTAACCTGATGGCGCAGGAGGATCATATCTTTCCATCTTGTCGAATCATGCTTCCTGAGATGCTGGTGCATCAATCGGATTTGGTGGTCAGGTGGCCCTTGAATCCTTAGAGTAAGGTCATTTTGGAATGCTTTAGCTGCCGCTGCCCCTTCGTGGTCTGGCAGCTGAGCCACCAATTGGGCAAGCTCTTGAGCCATAGGTACGTACTTCTGATTCAAATACAGAATAAATTTCTTCGTCGCTTCGTCTAACAAGGCACGCCTCACCAGTCTCCCATATCGGGATATACTTCTTAGGGAACCTCGACAGGTGGCACAGTTCGGAACGTCCGAGATGGAGAACGGCTCTGATGATTTGGAAATCGACAACGGCTTTCCCATTTCATCAAGCACATAGTGTTTCCGAAGGTCCATTTGGGCATCCATGTTTTCCACGGTCAGAAAATGTCCACATGGGGGAAATATGCAAGGATTTTCCTCCAGGTCAATCTCTTTGTATGTCTGACCCAAGATGAAGTCTACAGACATATCCTTAATTTCGTCGGTCGCACATGTTTGGCAGAATTTCTGTGCTGGACAAGGTTCACCACATAAGGACGGGCATTGATGACCGCACGGTAGAAGTTTCTCACATCGGCGAGAGCATGGAATGTGATCACACGGCGCGGCGCAAGGCATGGAACAGGCGCTGTGTGGACATGCAGACAGACATTTTGATACTGCGCAAGGGGCACATGGCTCGGAACATGTCCTAGGACATCTGGAGTGACCACACTGGACGTCACAGGGCGCCGTACATGGCGGACACGGAGTGTCCCCGTGGCATTCTGCAGCGCAGGAATGGGCACATGTGGAATACAAACGGCCACACCTTTGCTTGCATTGCTCATGATCTACCTTGACGCCCTCATTTGTCTGAATTGTACATTGACTGCATTGTCGCTTACAGTTGTGACCACAGGGCAAAGCAGCAAGACACTGGCGCGTGCATTTGTACTCAGGTTTGTTTACATCGAGGTGACAGGCGATGGTTACTTCGTGGTTGCAACGAGGAACATGCTTCTTGACGAATGTTGGACATTTAACCAGGCTGAGATCCTGTGCTTGCCAGCAAGGAAGACTGGCCATTGAGTGACCACAAGGTAGGACTCGGCCTGCATCAAATACCATGATGTCGCATCTCTTGGGACAAGGGTCACCACACAGTCTGGGACAGGGGTGGGAACATCCTTTCTGTGGACGCGGGCATGTCTCTGGGCAATAGACCGTCTGATGAAGTATCTCTGAGTGGCATTTTTGCTTGCACGGGTGACCACACTGTAAACGCTTGCCGCATTGCAAACTGCAACCTCCCTCAGGCGAAAATTGTACGAAGTCGTTCGGCTGTGATACCACGATAGGAGTAGAAGGGTGGCGAGGGCATCTGAGCTCTAAGCTTGTGCCAAAATTATCATGTTCTTCGAGGATGTTAAGAACCTTATGCCACATGTCCACACCCCTTGAGGTTTCCGAGTTGCCGATAATATACATTCCATGGCGTGCCCGTGAAAGCAAAACATTGATGCGATTCGGTGTGCGGAGGAAGCCACATCGATTTTGAGCGTTGCTTCTCACTAAAGAGATCACCACCACCTTTGCCTCCTCACCCTGGAAATTGTCTATAGTTGCAACTCTCAATGCCTGCAGGAGGGTTGATCTGGACACTGTGCTTGGTGTCGTCGGTCTTTCATCCTCCGCGAACCCTGCCTTGTCAAGGTCGTCCTGGTCTCTTTCTCCTAGGGTGATCGTGAATGCTTGGCTTAGTTTACGCCTCATTCGGTGAAGCTGGCCAAGATATGGAGTCAGAACAGCTATGTCTCCTGCTTGGTATTCTCCCTGGCGGAGCAGATGGTTTACTAGAGCCAGTGTCATTTCAATCTCATGATCATTCCAGTGAGATGTTGCCATGGCATCCTGGACCGAAGAGTTGCCTTCAGGCCGTCGGTGGTCAAGCCAGAAAAGCCTCTTTCTCATCCCTGCAACTTCGGGATAGAGGCTAACTGAAGGTGCGTCTTGTAAGCGAGGGTACAATGTGCTTCGGACCAGCTGTGCGATTGAGGGATGCATTCGTCGTTGGATTTCCAGTGTAGAGAATGGAAGACTTATGCCAACATCATCGTCCGGTTTGACAAGCCGTTCGAACAGCGAGCGATCCAAAGAGTATTGTTGTCCTGCCCTGCTCTCCCGAGAAAGCCCATAGTTCTGGATCTGAGGCCGCAGTTGCTGATGATCTCCGATCAGGATGACATGCTCGGCCGATGGTAAAAGCGAGGTGAGCAGATGAGCTTCTAGGACCTCGCCTGCCTCCTCGCACATAATCACCTTCGATTGCAGTCTGCGCAGCATGTTCAGATTGCGGGCTAAGCCAGTCGTTGTGACTCCTATCACATCAGCATTGCGCAAGCATCGCAGATCTAGCTCGTCTCGGATCTTATCATAGGATGCTTTGTTTTCCTGGTGCGACGCCAAGATCGAGTGAACTTGAGTATGGAGTTCCTCTCTACTCTCTCTGATCCAATGTTTGTATAGAACCTTGCGCTCCTTGGACGTCATGTTGTCTACATGGACCTGCTGAAGGAGGAGGTCCACTGAACGCGGCTGGCCCTTAGTTGCTGGACCAGTTTTGAGCCACGTCTGTAGAAGGTGTTGACGGCGTCGATTAGAAACCTTCCGAAAACCATGCTTGTCCTCGTCGAATAGTTGACTATACTGGCGAGGATGGTTTCGCTTTAGATAGAACTCCAAGCTTTGATCGGTGCCTATAGCATCGAGTTTAAGTGCGTCAAAACTGTTTTCATAATCATCAAAGTTCACTTGCAGCTTCCACTGCTCCTGCTTCTCCAGCCTTGTTTTGTCAATCTGTCGAACTACGGTTCTGAGATTGAGTGGCTGCAGTCTTTCTGATTTGGATTGTGAGCCGATACGGATAATTTGGGTCGTGATTTTATCATCCAATAGGCCTTCTAGAAGCTGATCGAGAGCATGATTTGTGTAGCAGACACAGACGATGGGGCCAAGTCGTGGTTTTACTTTTGGCTTGTTGGCTAGTAGGACCTTGATCAGAGCGACTCCAGTAAAGCTTTTGCCCGTTCCTGGTGGGCCTTGAATGAGCCCTATCTTTCGCTGAAGGGTGTGGACAAGAGCCTGTGCCTGGGCATTATCAAGAGTAGACTTCTCTTGGAGCTTCTTCAAGTCAAGGGGTTGCGACGGGCTCACTAGGAGATCCGAACGGTCGTTCATAAGACAGCGTAGGTTGAAGCTAAACCCTGGCACTGCCGCATACTTGGGAGGTGGCATATCTACTTGGCCGGTAAACATCTCGTCTGGAGCGAGGAATTCGGACATCGGAAGGTCTGCAGCTTTTTTCATTGACTGAAGTGCCTTTAAGGTTGGTTGGAATGATGGCAATAAAATCCCTGGAAACTCAATTAGAGAGCATGCGCGTTCACTGTTGCGCGGCCTATAACAATCTAGGATATACTGCCGATTCTCCTCAGTCGGTTCCACTAACTCCATGGTCACAGATGCAACATTCGCCTCCTTCCACAGCGATGAGACCTTCCTCTGCCGTCGTTCTTGCCTCGCATCCGTTCTGGGCCGCTCTGGCCCGACGACGGTGCAAAAGATGGCAAATCCTCGCGGATCCGTGAGGCAGACGAGGGCACTGGACTGTAATCTTTTCGATAGCTCCCACCAGTCTCTGCGGTGAGCTTCCGACATGGTCCTGACATTCAACGGTTGTGCAAACTGGACGACAAATTGTAATCCCATGAAACGATCGAAACCCAGACCCCGTACCTGGACGTTCTGATAGACATTTGTCCTAACTTGGCTCTTCCGCACATCTCTCAAGTGACTGGGGCTCAGCTCAGCATGAATAACGTCTCGAAGCTGACCGATGGTGTCCTCCCTCAACAGCCGAAAATTTCGGTCCAAGAGCCCGGCGAGACCACCAATATGCCACTGGTGTGGGTCTTTCCCAGGGAGATATTCTGAACGCGGACTCATTATTTCCTTGAAAGTAGGCATAATCTGGATTCTGCAAATGTCCGCATGATCGTTGTCGTGGCGACCGCCAGGCGGGTCTTTAGGAGTGACAAAGGCTGCATGAGATTTATGGGCTTGTAGAGGCTTTGAGTCTCCCAGCAAAGGTGGTAGGGCAGCTCCGATCTCCAGCCGGCGTTGTAGTACTTCCAGGTGATGCCGCGGTCTGTCTAGTGACCCAGCAGTCTTCAAGGCATGAAGGATCATGAAGAGGTCATAAAACCGCCTCGCTACCGGCCTCAACGGCTCCAGGATGAACGCAGTCGAGTTCAGCTCGACAATCTTGCAAAACACGAGGAGCGATAGTTCTAGGTAGGTCGAGGTTGCATCTGAGTGGAGCTCAACGTCCAGCTGCACCACATCGGCCAGAAAATTCAGAAATGGCTCTGCACGATGGCCGGCTGGTCCGAAGATACAGTTGTAGATTCTAACCACGAACTCCTCCATCACCAACGACGCGAGGACCTTATGGTGGGTGATACTCTCGAGAAAGGGGAGGAACTGCCTTTGGAACACATCTCGTTTGGTGGCATTTAACATCAGGGAATAGTCACGCTGAATGAGTTCCTGGATTCGTTGCAGGCCGCCCTCGTGGGCGAGACATTGGATCACTTCTTGGGCTGTGTTGTCGTCGTCAACTTCTATCAGCTTTCTGGCCGTTGCGAAGAACTGGCCCAGTTCCGCACCCAGTGGACGTATAGCCAATCGGCTCTTGGGGGCTTTTCGCTTCCAAGCGGCAAGGCCGTTAACGTCGTTGGTTCCATTCCTGGGTTGCTGTCTTCGCGCACTCGATCTCGAGTTGCTTCCTTTGCCGGCAGGCTTTGACGGACCAGCCACATGGGGATATCGACAATTCTCAAACTTGCAGGACCCCGTTTGGGCGAACTGATAACAAATCCTTGCGCAGAATATTAGCGTCAATGTCTGACATGATTTAGTATGGATATGGTTACTTTGCAGATCCCATTCTGTTGATCACACAGCGGAGTCTGGTATACTTCGAGAGACAGCCGGATGTATCTCAGTCCGTATGAGATGGACGTTCTTCGTTGGATGCCAGCATAGATGGCGAGAAGGTGTCGGGATATAGGTGGGACAGTATGGCTCTATGATATGTCTGGCTCGTACACCACGGTCGCAGAATGTAGTATATGGAGGAGTCTCTCGCAGATGTTCCAGCACAAAAAACATCAATTATCCACGAATATTTCCATAGCAAGTTGCAGTATTGTAATAAAAAATGATCGGACGCCATGGTGGGCACCATATATATTCACCGATCTACCTGAGAAGCAGGAATATGCCCTTGTGGCGTAATACTGTCAGCCTTTTCTCTCAGGATCACCCAATCAATCGGGTTGGGGTTCAGCAATTCACACAGCCGCGGTGAGTCTCTCCACCCGAGCTGAAAGAGCTGCCACATCATTTCTTTTGCTCTAGCGGGGAATCTATGGTCCTGAGTCAGTGAATCCCACTTGGGAATATTGGTTGGCTGTTGACAGCCTTGGGGATGAATTGATCATCCACCAGAAGGTGACGTGTCCCAGGCAGCGAGAGTCCCTAGTAGAAGGCTGGCGCCTATGCAATGTCCTTTCCAATGAACACCGTTCAATCTATCAATAGCCATTTACATGAGATATATACACTGCCTTGCTAAACCACAAATATACAACCCCACCCCTCCTGATCGAACCCCCCCTAAGAAGACCCAGACCCAATCGCTCTTTTCTTCCACCCAATATCATATACAATATTTCCACCCCTCAAAACCAACCCGGGAATCCACCCCTTCTCCTCCATCCACACCAACGGCCACAACAGAAAGACCCCCAGCACACAGAACACTGTCGCGAACGCATGCATCGCCAATACAATCCAGTGCCCGATGTGTGGGAGGACAAACTTGATGAATTCTGATGTTTGATAAAGATCCTCTTGTTTGGTGATATAGTAGAGCTTACGGTGACCGTTTGTGTGGGTGGTTAGGGGCGTTTTGCTATCTGGGTTGCCGTTGGCGACGACGTCGGCGTAGCTTGCTCCTTCTTCTTCTTTTGGCTCGTGTGATTTTTCCGAGGACGCAGTGGCAGAATGGGAAGAAGATAAGTAACCATTCGGATTCGTAGTCAGCGATAACACCGTCGTAAGCGTCACAGGCGCAACATGAAATGGAACGACCCAGATCGTGAAGATCTGAGACATTGTCACGTAGAGTTTTTGGTTGTCGGAATCATATGCTACATCCCATTAGTACCAATCATCAACCATCTGTCGTCTCTCTAATTTAGGGAGACATCATCTCTGTATGGCTGGGGAAATAACGAACCAATAGAGTGGATCTTCATTTCAATGCGCGGCGACATCACTTTATACCATTGGTAGATCTTCTTCACGACCCAGCGACTGCCTCGGAAATGCTGGATCCGGCAGAAAGGGTGGACGAAGGAGGCATCTGGGGTGAAGAACTTGTCGATGGTCTGGGATTGTTGCGTCGGGGGCGATTGCGTGAGGTGTTGGATTACCGTTGGGATTTCGGAGACTGGTTTTAATTTGGATGTTAGGTTTTGGATTGTATTGAGGGGCGTTTGGGGAGGGGATTGGATGTACCTGGATCTTCCATTGTGTCAATAGCCTTTGGGATTTATGAAGAGAATTTGAAAGATTGATGGGAGGATTTCAGTCTTTATATCGCCTTGTCTTGTTGATTTCCAAAACCGGACCCGACGATGATGATGTCATTGCATGTGAACGTCAATGGCTGACATCACATGATATCCCTCTCCATGAAGGAGTTCGTGATTTGATTGATATACCAGTACATAGATATAACCAAGCTATCAAGAAGTAATCGTGACATACAACCCGGCAGAAACCCACGGGGTGGTGTGTTGGTAAGGTTCAGAGAAATGCCGTGTAAGTAAAGGTGCCATGGCTGTAGCACAGCATCTCTGATTTGATCATGCCATTTTGACTCCATCTAGACCCAAACGACAAAGTCAGATTATATGCGAATATGGTTCAGATGTCAGGGTGGGAGATCATGTTGATCATGGAGCTTGGATCCCTAACTTTGCGGCACACCATCTCCTGAAAACCGCCGGATTGCCTTTACATCTCGATAGATCCGCATGTCTTTGGAGGATGTTATTCCTACAACATATCCCAGAAACTTGCCAAGGGATAGCGCATCGGAGTCTTAATACACCAGAGCGTCTTGAATTGATCTCAATCTAGTAATATGCCCGAACTGCAGCAACTGAGAAAACGGGACAATGATATCAATGCAACGATATCCTGGTCCGGTCGGTCGTTGACTGTATGCAGAGATCTCCCCTTAAGATATCCCGCAACCCATTTCCTGCCACAATTTCTAACCATCCCATACCGTAGACCATCTACGCTGGTATCTCCATTCTGCACCGCAACTACGGAGATAGCAGAGCCGCCATCGCCTTTCGAAACTCAGCGTATCTATTCGACTATGTCGTGTTCAATCTGCCTGCCGAGTCTTCCAAGACACCTGCCCATACCATTTGCAATCGAATCGTCTCCGAACTGCGGGCCTACAGTGAGAAGCACACGGAAAAGATCACAGGTTTGGCCTTACCGCTGTCCCTAGCTGACAAGTATCCGTCCCTCTGTTCTCAGCTCTGGAGGGAACTGGATATTCTGCCTCTAGTTCTGGAACACAAAGAACGGGCCAGGAGGGATTCTGACCTGGGTGAATTGGCCACCTTCTCATCATGGGGCACCAAAGAATTCGATGAACAGGCGGACTCAATGGTCAGGAAGTGTATGCGGTATGTATGCGTGGCCGGCCCAGACCCATGGGGGGCATACCTGATCAGTCACAGGTCTTTCGGCGTGGGCCACGTCCTGCAGGAAAACATAGGCCTTGGGAGCTTGGTAGAGGTTGATCGGAATTTCCGGGTGCGGCTGGCCAATCTGGAAGATTACCAGGCGACGGTGACTGCTCAGACATGGTCCATCGTTCAACATTATGCAGAAGAACTCAAGCAACGGAATGTGAAAATTGCATTCTTTAGCTTGTCCTCGCAAGGGAGACCAGATATCCATACAAGGCATTCATTAGTGAGGCTCTTACACTACCTGGGGGTCAATGCTAAATGGTGAGGGAGCGTTCTACATTTTGCAACTTGATATTGGCTTAAACTTTTGGCTTAGGTATGTCCCAAAGCCGCGTCCAGGGATGAGTTGCATTATCCGGAAGATGCACGATTCCCTAGAAGGATTGAATGCACCGGGTGATTTTCTCACCATTGATGATGAACTACGTATTCTGCAATGGGTCTATGAAAATGCCCGAAGATACTGGCTGTGTGAAGATGATCCTCTGCAGGCACGGTCTAAGGGTGGCGCTGACATTGTGATCATTGATGATGCGTCTCTTACACCCGCAGCATTATTATCAAAGCAGGCCGATCCGAATCGACCAGTCATTTTTGAAAATCGAGTTCAAGTTCAACGGAGCGTGTTGCAGAATTCAAAGAACTTATCGACACGATCGTGGGACTTCCTGCGGGAACGTCTTAGACATGTGGATCTTGTGGTATCTCAAGCCCCGAAAGAGCTGGTACCGGATATGATGCTGAAAAAGAAAGTTGGCTATATCCCGGTATCTGTGGATCAGTATGCCTCTCACTTTCTGGGATGATGTTGTCTTATGCTAATGTGCTGCAGACTGGATGGATCTAGTAAGAATATGAGAGACTTTGACATCACATTTTATGGACGCGAGTTCAACTCCTTGTGTCGATCCTTCGAGACACCGATTTTGAACTATCCGGAGGGTATGTCGTGGATTTTCTACGGTTCGCGCCATCCTGTTATTACATCTCACTAATGCATATACCACACCACCTGCAGAGCAATACATCCTCCACCTCTCACAATTCAGAAACCTCGACGAGACCCTCACAGTCCTTCACGCCTACCAAAAGTTCTGCATCCATTGCTTGGACGCAGGGATGAGCGTTCCCTTCCCCAAACTCCTCATATACCACTACGGACCATCCCGCAGCTCCAAAAGCACTCTCATCTATGATGCCATCCTCTCCCACATCGAGGTGGACATGCCACATCTCAGACCATCCATCTACGTAATGCAAATCGGCCCGCCAGATCAGCTCTGGAATACCCTTCTAACCAAAGCAAAAGTCGTCATTGAACTGTCCATGTGCGAAGGTATTCCCGCCATGCTGCTGGCTGCTATCCAGAAAGGAAAACCCATAATCACTGAGAGGGAAATGAGTCAGTTTTCCTTTACCAAGGGTGTTGATAATATCCTTTTCTTTGAGAAGGGCGATGTGGACATCATTTCCAGGCTCCTGGTGGAGCTCTGGACTGATTCCCAGCTGAGCCCCATGCTGCTGCCGGGGCCGAGGAGGCTGAGGGATGAGCATACGACGGTTGGGAATGCGGTTAATTGGTTGTTTTTGGCGGCGGAGATGTCGCGCGAGGATCATGCTGTGGAGCTGGATGGGAAGAGTATCTTTGAGTTGGCTGGTCAGGGGGCTGGTTTGTGTGTTTGAATGGTGTTTGTGGAAGTTTCCTTACCAACTAATGTTCGTGATGAGGCACTCCACGCCAACCTCTATGATTTGGTTTGTCTAATGGAAGGGGTGTCATGTTAGAAATATGAGAATTTCGAATACGATCCAGGCTAGATTGCCGATTTTTCGGTTGCCGGATACACGACCCGCCACATCTATTTCCTACCAAAAGACGGAGAAAAACAGAGACATCATTATATTAGAATAGAAAGTGCTCCTCCATCTCCGTAGCTAGGTTCCTCCACGCATTGTCATTCGTAAACATACTACTGGACCAAGCAGATAGGTTCTCATCTAGAAATGTATCCATCAAAGGATGGGCAAGAGTGTCTGGACAGTTCATACCAAAATCCGCTACTAAACTATGGCCTCCCGACCTTGGTACTGATAATTTCTCACTGTTGGAAGGTTGATCATGGTTTCTTGTCCGACTCACTTGCTGAACTTGATCTGTATGCTGGTCTCTACCTAAGCTAGAGTTCGCGTCCCATGCTCCGGTTCCACTAGAGACGCCAGCCTGTATTAACGCGAGCCGCTCGCTGTAGTCCACTGCAGGAATATTTCCATGGTCCCGTATGGTCCGAAGTATATTGATTGACGTTTGGAGGAGATCAGATGTAGCCACACTTGGGTTTAGAAGGGCGGAGATAATAAGAATCAAGGAAGAGGAAAAAATGTGCTGTGCCTCCCAGTAGCCAAATGTGGCGATGGATCCCTCGATGAACAGGCCTTCCATGATTCGGCAGGATGTTATCGCGGCGTTTACACAGCTATCCGCCAGGAGAGCTGTAATGGGTGAAAGGGTGGGCGATTCTGGAGACAAATCCTTGTCATCACCCTGACATCGTCTTCGGAACAGATGCAGAAGAATCGGACGTGTCGTCTGCATGATGCACTCGTTATAGGCCATGTGCAGGCTGGCAACGGGTCGCGGTGTCCGACATTCCCGCACGCAGAGCTCTGGGGGGAGCGCGTCGTTCCATGCTCGAAGTTGCTTTAAAATACTGTGTACCCTTTGCACGAACATGCCGTTGGCTCGTCGCGGAAGGCAGTATATTTCCGCCACTGTCTGGTTAGCATGAATCTCTCAGTCAGTGAAGTGGCCGACGTACAGATATTGCCCGTGATACGAGCTAGTTTCACATTGGCACACATATGAGCGGGGTCTGCGAATTCCTGCTGTTCCTCGTCTGTGAGGCCGTCCATGGAAGGCAGCTCCACATCTATGTCTTCATCCCGCAATGTGATGGGTAGCCCGAGCTTGGAGGCTGACATTCGTTCGAAGTAGTAAAGCATCCACCACGTGCGTCTTCGACTCTCAAGTTCGACTGCACTGGCCGTTGTTGGAGCGGACCCTGACCTATGTAGTCCAAGACTCAATGCCAGCCTCATAGCAATGCCACTGTAGGAATAAGCAGACCGGATGCGCCCCAGGCTGTTTGAGTACCATGCCTGCCATTGATCAATACGTCGCTCGTTCAGTGATCGCGACGCACTTACAATCAAAATCAGAACCTCGACATGCAGCAAGCTTGCTTCTTCATATATGTCGTGGAGCATGTTCAGGGCCTGGAGATAATAGTTTGTTCCCGGGATTATATGGGTGTCGTTGAACTTCCTGCGGTTTGTATAGAGCTCACCCAAGGCGAGAAGAGTCCATAGTTTGCACAGCCAAAGAACAGTCGGCTTTGAAGCCTTCTGATAAACAGCCTCAATCTCTCGCACGAACGAGACCTTGAGGAACAGATGATGATCGTTACCAATGAAGCGCCATGCAACTTTGATTAATAGCTTGGCTTGGGCTCGGTCTGGAAGCGTGTATTCGTTGTCATCCAATATATGGTTCGCGGTTTTTGTCGAAAGATATTGAGACAATGTAGCACTTGAAGGAGTTGGACCTATGTTGGTGCACTGAAGTAGTCGGTCACCGAATGCTATACATGATGCCTCGCCTGTGAAACCTGGTTCTGTTTGCTTGTCGCGGGTCCACTCTTTCTGTGTCTCGAAAAGTGGATTCACAATGCCATGTTCCTCTTGCGAGAGAGAATCTGGTTCATGCTCGGTGGCTGCTTCGACTCTGTGCTCTTTCGAAGATTCATTCTTCAGCAGGGCCTGTAACCGTTTGCTGTCGGCCTCAAGCCGTCGCAAGTAACTGGAGAGAAGCTGTCAGTAGCAAAACAAAAGTCGTTTGATGGGACAAGTGCGCCCTCACTGCTCTGATATAGTGACTTTCCTCTCCCTTGGCGGAAACCTACACTCATCGCTTTTATTTGCTTGAACACAAGAGCGACACGGATGTTCTCCCGAGCATTTGACCTTTTGAGTATGACATCGGTAACAACTGCCGCTTTTTTAGTCTCTTCATCATAAATCATCGGCATTGGGAACCGCTTACGCAGCGAACAGTCTCCGTGTGCGTTTGTGTGTCTTCATGGTAGCCCACTTGTGACCTCGGGCGTATTCTTATTTATTGATTTATATCCAGAGTGAGGGGAAGAACGAACGGGTAATCGGCCCGCACCGAATTTGCCGACTCCTCCTCTCGGTTTGGAGGTCACTTGCCGGAGGTTATCGTCGTTTATCATCGTAACCCCGCATCTGGATGCGAACATGAATACAATTATTTAAGGATGAAGTCGCGTCGCTTCTTGGAGGAACACCTCTGCGGTCGTTCTCAATCTAGAACTGTCTTTACATAACCTCAACTGCTGACACAATGATCAAGAACGGCATCCGCATTGCCATCGACAGAGGTGGCACATTCACAGATGCCTGGGCGGATATCCCTGGCCGACAAGATCATGTTGTCTTCAAGATTCTATCAGCCTCTCCAGATGAGTACGACGATGCCCCAACAGAATGTATCAGACGCATTTTAGAAATGGCAAGTGGCGAGGAGATACCCAAAGGCTCTTTGCTTGACCTATCATCCGTTGAATCCATCCGAATGGGTACCACAGTGGCTACGAATGCCCTTCTGGAGCGGAAGGGCGATCGTGTGGCCCTGATGGTGACCAAGGGCTTTCGCGATTCCCTCTTAATTGGGAACCAGGCTCGGCCCAACATTTTCGATCTCTCCGTGCAACGGCTTAAGCAGCTCTATGAGACAGTGGTTGAAGTTGACGAACGCATCACGATTGAAGGATATAGCGAGGATCCCGAGCCCAAACCTATCGACGCCGTGTCTGATCCTAACCTCGTTGTCGGTCTGACGGGCGAGGTAGTGAGAATATTACGAACGCCAGACCTGGATGCCGTTCGCTCACAGCTACAGGCGTTGCAATCAGAAGGGTATCAAAATCTAGCCATCGGACTTATGCATGCATATACCTACCCAGAGCACGAGCTTCAGATAACAAAGTTAGCCGAACAAATGGGCTTCAAAGTATCAGCGTCATCAGTTCTGCAATCGATGGCCAAATTCGTCCCTCGAACCCAGTCAGCCGTGGCTGATGCTTACCTCACTCCAATGACCGCTTCGTACCTTGAAGGCTTTCGAAAGGGATTCAAGGGCCAGCTAGACGATGAAAACGCAAACAAGGTACTACTCAGTCAATCGGACGGTGGCCTGGCAACTTGGAACAGCTTTTCAGGCCTCCGAGGGGTACTCAGTGGTCCTGCGGGAGGTGTCGTGGGTTTGTCACGAACATGCTATGATGCGGAGGAAGGCCGACCGGTGCTGGGGTTTGACATGGGCGGAACCAGTACCGATGTGGTCCGGTATTCCGGCGCTCTTGAGCATATTTTCGAAAACACAATCGCGGAGGTTACCATTCAGACGCCTCAGCTGGATATCAACACCGTCGCAGCGGGAGGCGGGTCAATCTTGACTTGGGAGACTGGCTTGCTCAAGGTTGGGCCACGGAGTGCTGGCGCAAATCCCGGTCCTGCATGCTACGGAAAGGGTGGGCCGTTGACCGTGACAGACGCCAATCTGCTACTAGGACGAATCATTCCGGAGTATTTTCCAAAGCCTCTAGATCTAGATATCGTCAAACACAAGTTTGCCGCTTTGACAGATGTTGTTAACAGGGACAAGGGAGGTGGAGATGCCTTTACCTCAGAAACCTTGGCGCTAGGCTTTCTGGCTATTGCGAATGCAACGATGACAAGACCCATCCGCAAGCTCAGTGAAGGCCGAGGGTACAGCGCTGCTAGCCATAACCTTGGATGTTTTGGAGGTGCCGGTGGACAGCATGCCGTCTTTATTGCTCGAGACCTGGGGATCCAAAAAGCAATCATTCCCCGCTACTCAAGTATCTTGTCTGCATACGGGATGGCTCTGGCCGATGTGGTGGTCGAGAGCCAGGAGCCTGTGGCGTGGAAATTTGAACAAAAGACTCTATCCGAGCTCCAGGCGCGGCTGGATCTGATATCTAAGAAAGGTATAGAGGCCTTGAAACTCCAGGGGTTTGAGGAGAAATCTATCGTGCATGAATGCTTTTTGAACATGAAATATCAAGGCAGCGATACGACCCTGATGATTCGAAAACCTGAGCAATTGTCAGACTTTGGAACAGCTTTCCATACTAGACATTCCCAAGAGTTTGGATTTTCCCAGTCTCGGGATATCTTGATTGATGATGTTCGCGTGCGGAGTATTGGAAAGTCCCGAGTCGTAGATACCTCAAGCCCATTCAAGGAACTGAAGAAGCTGGATGATCGTTGTATAGTTCAACCACCAACACCAACATTTACACGAAAAGTATTCTTTGATATACTTGGTTGGGCTGATACCAACGTTTACACGCTCCCTTGCCTCAGTCCCGGCACCCGGATCAGTGGGCCGGCCATGATTATTGACGAGACACAGACAATTGTAGTTGATCATGCAAGCAGAGCGATTATTTTGCCTGAGCATGTGGTTTTAGAAGTCGGAAGCGTGAACCAGGAGCAGCTTTCAACCAATGCGGTGGATCCCGTCCAACTGAGCGTGTTCAGTCATCGGTTCATGACCGTGGCGGAGCAGATGGGCCACA